AACAAGAAGGGAACTCCAAATCTGGCATTGATCTGAGGTATAATTACCAAATTGCCTTTTAATTTGAACTGAAAAATATTTGCCGAATCTATGAGAGCATAAGGTTAACCTCATCACAATTTTTGCAGATTATGAACACTTTGACTAATAAGCCAATTGATACCAACCACTAAAGGTCAGTTCAATGTGAACAATTGACTTTTAAAAAGAATTTGCAAATGAAAATAATACAAAAATATATATATTGAAAATAGCATTAAAATTGTACCGATAATGATGGTATTTTGATTAGAATTTGGTGAACGTTAAGAAATCACATAATTTTGTATGAAAAATTTGTACAAAAGTTCAAATTATAGATCATTACTTTTTAACTTTACATAATGGTATTCATATTACATTAATTTTTTTTTTTTTTCATTACATTGACATTTGTTGTTATACAATTCACACTAGTTTTGTTGACTATGGGATCAAAAATTTTGAATTGCAACCTAAATATGGAATCCCCTTACATCTTCAGTTTGAAGCCATAAGTCTTCAATTTGAGTAATTATCATTACTAACATATTCATGAAATAAGCATAAGAAAAATTACACAATGCATTCCATTAAGAGCTTATAAAAATAATTGATTAAAATTTTGTTGTGCTTTTTTCTGTTACATTATATCTTAATATAATAAAATGGAATGAATTAACAGTTATAATATATAAATCACATTTTCAATAAACCATATTAGGAGAGAAATACTCCAAATAAATAGAGAAAAATTGGTTCGGGTTCCGCTTCTAAAATCTATCATCATTGCTAAGTGTGAATTGCAAATGGCTCTTCAATGTTCTATTATTTTCTATTATACATCTAAGTCAACACAGCTTAAATGAAAATAAGAGTACTGATCTTTCTACTAAGATACAATAGTTCTTACTAAATGGCTAATTTTTTTTTTTTTAATTGCACATAAGTAATCTAATTTCAATAGTGTTGGAAACAAACATATATTTCTCAAAACAATGCAATGGCTCATTAGGTGGAGCATTTACATTTCGTATTAAATGAGATATACTAATATTAATCAAGATAAATCTAAACACTAATGCCATCTAGTCAGAATTTCTATAAGATACATATTAATAATTTAAATTGTAATAGAGTAGGTTTGTTTCGATTATGATTCACACACTACAACAAGTTTAACTTCACACCATATATTAAAACTTTAGACATTATTTTAATGAAAATTTAAGAATACATAGCATTTTTGTATAGTGCACCATTTGTAGTACATTTATACCTTAAGCAAACTTGATTGTTCTTAAAATTGTGGTTGTGGGAGGGGAAAGGGGGGTTTTAAAGTACATATATATAGTGATGACTTAGCAGTAGAGCCTCTCATTTCTTGAACTCATAGTTGGATAACCTCTTTTTTCTTAAAATTATTATTGTAAATTGATTCGAATATTTGGTTATCAAAAAAATTACTACTCAAATTCTTAAGATCCCCAAATATATATACACATTTATATATGAGAAAAACGTTAACTAACAACCAACTAATAGTGGTTATTAATGTTGAAATGTATGTAAAAGTATATATAATAAAAAATAAAAAATTATTTAAAAATATGTGCACTATGTATTAAAATTGTAATTTTTGAATATTTTATGATTTCTATTGTACTTGCACTGCATAGTTGTTTTGATGAATGGCAGAGCTATCTATTTATGTTTCTCTTCTCTTCTTTTCTTTTCTTTTCTTTTTTTTTTCCTTCAAAAATTTCGTACTGACAAAAATTGAATCACCAAACATTGAAATACTACTTTGTATGATTAAACTGTGCTGTCAGATTTACATAGCTCCATCAACAAAAATAATAAAATAAAATACTTGCCTTTACTTCTAAGGATAAAATGGGGGGGTTTGACTAAGCCAACAAGATTTAAATTTTGTAGCAACGGTTCATAAGGGTAGTTGTGTCAATTAACTTCACTTATCCAAACCAGGTAAACATAACTATGAATGAGAGAGAGAGAGAGAGAGAGAGAGAGCGCTTTAAACATTGTTGCCTTTCTTGAATATCATTTATGGGATTGGAGGAGATAAAGCCTCCATTGGAGGAGAAACAGAGGCTTTGATTTGAAGCATCACTTTTGAATAAAGTAATCTTATAATACAAATCCTATTCTGTCTTTAATTAATAATAATAAAATCAAATTGGACCTTCTTGTTGCCTTGTCTTTGGGCCATTGTAATTTTAATTTGATAAGTTCAACAGTTGATCTCGTAATTCTTGTTGATATCATCATTCACAAAAATCAAATTAAATTGATTGTCCATCATGATCGGATTGGATTAAGTTTATTGGGAAAATAAATTTAAATATTTTTTAGACAAATACGTTCCAATCATTTTAACATAATTTAAAAAATAAATTATTCGAACCACTAATACAAATACTAGCTAGGCAAGGTTAATTGAATAACTATCATTAGTTATATTTATTAGTGTTAATACACGAGACAATAAAAAAAGAATTTTGCTACATCCCTATTTCATCGCCCTTAATAATTGAGTATATGACAAATTAAAATTTGACAGCTATCATTCTACATCAATAAGGGTGAAATTGTGGAGGTTTAATTAGGGACCTCAAACATTTTTCATAAAAAAAACACGGCTCTGATTCGTAGCTCGAATTCGGAGGCTCGAATTTGGCCCGAATTCGGAGAAGAGAAAGAAGAGAAGAAGAAGAAGGAAGAAGAAGAAGAAGAGAAGAAGGAGAAGAAGAACTGGACTGGAGGGGGCCATCAAAATCGGAGGTGGAGGCGGAGGCGGCGGCGGGCGGAGGCAGAGGCGGAGGCGGGGCTGAGCGACGAGCTGCCGACGACCTGCGACACCGACGAGCTGTGTTCAACGACGCCGACGAGCTGTGTCTCTCTCTCGCCTCTGCTTTGCTCTCTCTCGCCTGTGTTCAACGAAGAAGAAGAAGATAAGAAAGAAAGAAAAGGAAGAGAAAGAAAACGAAGAAAAAGAAGAAGAAGAAAAAAAAAATGGCAAAACGACGTCGTTTTGCCATTCGAGCCAAAATCGAGCCACGAATTTCGAGCTACCAGTCATTTTTCAAAAAAACATTATAAGAAAATGTGGTCATCAGACCAGTATTGTTAATTGGGCAGTACTTCTCTCAATATGAACTTGATTGTCATGTTTAGATTAGTGAAGCTCATCATGGGTCCAGTTTGAATAATTTCAACCGTATAAAATTATTCATATATATCATTCATAACAAAAATTAGGTCCATCAAAATTTTAATTTTATTATATTTGTCTCAAAAAAACATATGGACTTTTTAAAAAATTATCTTTTGTTGTTGTTGTTGTTATTGTGATTAATGAGATTAAATGAAAAATTTACAATTATCGAATCAATATAATTTTTGCATGAATGATATATACAAATAATCTTACAAATAAATTGTTTGAATCACTAAAAAATAAAGGGAGAAGTTCAAAAAAGTGAAAAGTTAATTTTTTTTCTCTCCAACTAATGAAAGTACAAGATTTATTTACATAACTAATGCATAAATCACTTGTACCTTCGTCATTTTGTAATTATTTTTTCACTATCCACTTTTTTAATATTCTCTCCAAAATAAACTTATAGTGAGTCTCACAAATCCAAACATAACAATTAATTTATATTTATATTTAAATTTGAGAAAAATTCAATCAAATTAATTTAATGTCTATAAATTATTAATTAGGTAAATGTGGTGTGTTGTAATTGAAGGTAGCCCATTGACCCTTTTCATGGCTTCACATATGATCAAACCTTTGGGCGTTTAAAAAACTAAAAATAAATAAAATTGACTTGTGATCAAAGGATCATAGTCGTTCAATTTCTCTCTGCTTTACAACACCTAGAAATTCAAAGATCAGACGGATATGATATCAACAACTTGAAACAGGTGTAGATGATCAAAACCATGTACGTGCACACATGAATAGAACGTGGGTGACTCATTTCATTTTCACAAAACTATGCCTTCATAACTTGTGAACTAAAATTACATAAACTAGGCCCTTCTTAGATAAATTATTTTTCTAGTCCTGAATCTAGAGCTTCCCCTTCCAATTTATTTATTTTTTAAATATTCTCTATTGTTGATAATTCGAGTTGGAATAATTCAATCTGTTTATTTATATAAAAAAATTAAATTTATCGAACAATCATAACTCTATAATTTAATTATATAGTTATACTCTTACAATTAATTATTATTATTATTATTATTATTATTATTTTGTGCATGAATGATTCAGACTATAGAGTTGGATCATATAATGAGCTCATAGAGGCTCAATAACACTATTCAATTAAAAAATTTCTCACGTTCATTAATATAAGTTTTTAACTTATATGTACTATAATGGGATGTAGTCATATACATCTTATAATAGTTGCTAGAAACCAACCATTTTATCCAAGAGTTGTTGGTAGCATCACATTATGGGAGGATAACAAGCATGGTAGCGTTGTCATTCGGCCCAAAATGTAGTTTGATTCAAGTCCATTTGGCTTCAGTTTGTGATATAGGCAGCTTGGTTCGAGTGAGGTTGAGCTTTAGGTTTAAGACTCGACCTTTAACTTGGACAATTGGTTCGTAAGAGGCATCTCATTGTGCCAGTTAGTCCCCAAAATCGTACAAAATTATGAAAAAAAAGCAGTAAAGAAATTAAAAAAATTTAACTCATCATTCTTTATTCTAACTGTCACAAATTATCTCCTGTATTACTATATTACATTTCATTATGTTTTTCGCCACCGCTATTCCGAACCACCTCTCTTTTCACTCAACCATGGAGTTAGCTTTTTATCTCTATGATTTGCACAATCACTCCTTATTGGCAGTGTTTGGCAACAGGTTAGGCCGGCTATTTTAGCCTCAAATATAAAAAAATTCGTGTAGTCGCACTGTAGTTGAGTTTAAGAGCTGCAGTCCAGTTGGTTGGCATTATCTGGGTAAAAAGACATTTTTACCCTTTGTTGCTCATATCCAAAAGCCAAAAACTTACTATTGAAGACAGGGCTTTCATATCTCTCATTTTATCACCTGTACTTTGGGTCTAAACAGAGGGTTTGAGAGAAGAGTGAGGTACCTCTCTCCGGCGGCTCACTCCAGTGGAACTATTGCGTAAAGACCAAGGAGCCGACTGTCTTGCTCGCCGATCGTTGAAAACCCGCGACAGGTTCGGTAGCCAAACCCGATTTATGTGCTTCTTCTTCGTTGGCGAACTTGGTCTTGTTGGTTTTCAACCAATTGTTTTAGATCTTACTATGATTTGGCTGGTATTGATGGTATTTTCTTTTTTCTTTCACCGATTTGCACCTATGAACTTCTTTTTCCCTTCAAATTTTTTTTTTGGCTCCAACTTCAGTGGTTTAGTCGTCATGGGACTACAAAATACGGCAAAACAACCGACGAACTGGAAGTGTTCATGTTGTTTTATTTTATATTTTTTCTTCATTTAAAATCTTTTGTATTTTTTTTTCTTCCTTCAGATCTTACCTGTGATTTGGTTGGTATTGATGGTATTTTTTTTTCCTTTCACCGATCTGCACCTACGAACTTCTTTTCCCCTTCATTTTTTTTTGTTGTTCCAATTTTGGTGGTTCAGTCGTCATGGGACTACAAAATACGGCAAAACAACCGATGAAGTAGAAGTGTTGATGTTGTTTTATTTTTTTTTCTTCCTTCCATATCTTTTGTGCGTATACAATTTTTTTATTTAAATTTTTTCGTGTAACAATCTTCTTAGCAAGCATACTTGCTTCCTAACATTTTTTTCTTTTGTGTTCTTGTTCAACAAAAAATTTTGTGAGAAGTTTGTGTTCTGTTGGTTTCTTCTTTTCTCAGCAAACATGGCGCATCCTATGTTAAATTTTTGTGAAAAAATTTCTCTGATAGAAAATATGTTGTCCAGTACTCTTTTTTTTATTGTTTATTTATTTTTATACTCTATGCTGCTGAAATTAGTATGGCAAAGCAAACACCACCTAAACACCAATTTCATCCAACTAAGTTTTTATTGTTAATATTTTTTATACTTTGTTCGGCTGAAATGAGTCTGAAGATTATGATTTCACATCTTTTTTTAACAATAAGTTTGGCCATGAAATATAAATCATTCAAATACCTCCCATTTGTAACCTGAGTTTTAAAACTTTTTGCAACTTTTTTCAGAGAGTTTGGAAACCTTTGTCAATTTTTTTTGCCAATCCCAAACATAATTGTCCATCCATGTATAACTTGGGCATATACAATTTTTTTTATTTAATTTTTAAAGTGTAAAAATCTTCTCAGCTTGGGCATATACAATACTCTGTTTTTTTTCCCCCCCTTTCAACTCTGTTCTTATAAATTTGATCTGTACATAGTTAATTTGAACTGCGCAAATCTATTGGAGTTAATTTCGTAATAATATCCTTATTAGAACAACATACAAATTTATAATTGTTTTCATGAAAAATAAACGCACTTGTGCTTCATAAATTTCAGTGATTCATTTAGTCTGTTCTGCTGTTAAAAATAAATCGTTGTTAAAAATTTATTACCTATTCATTCAATCTGTTCTACTGTTAAAAATCAATTGTTGTTATAAATTAAATACCTATTCCTTCAATCTGTGATGCTGTTATGAATTAAATACCTATTCCTTCAATCTATTATTCTGTGTGTAGTAATATGTACTGTAAACTTGTTCTTCAAACACCAAACATTTTAATTAATATACCCAGAAATCTTCGGACCATCCCAGGGCGAATTGCAATACACTTTTTCATATCATTATTGCCTTTGTCGTCTCTGGTGTTGTACCCTGTTCCTAAACAGCGAATGGCTTCCTCTTTTTTCACTACCACGTCGACATGGCCACGACACATGTGTGTTTGTAGCTATGGCCATTGTTTTCTGAAGGTATCAAGATCTCACAAAAATTCTAGTTGTGCATATTATGTTTGCCCCCGTCCCATGGTGAGTTGTAACAAATGATTATTTCTCATTCCATATGTTTGCAAATTGTAATTCCCATAACTAATAAGTGTTAAGTTTCTTACTCATCAGCAATGTGTTAATTGGATTGGTTAGTGTGACGAATTAGGGAGACGAAGCCCTGACCATGACTCATCAACAACTGGAGTCATGCAGTTACGGGTTGATGTCGTGTACATTATTAATACTTTGCGTGTAACGAAAACAATGATTTCTGTGTTGTGCATCATGGTCATCATCTTATTATTGCGAATGTAAACTCTGTAATTTACTACCCTTGTACATAAGTAATGTTTTGAAGAAGTAATGTTTTGAACAAGTAACTGCATTGTGATCGTTTTTATGTTCACGCTATATTCTATTAGTAATTATTGTACTAGTTTTGTTAAACTTTGTTGTTGTTCTCTTTTGCATAATGTTTTGGTTTATAGTTTATTGTCTGAAATGTATTTGTCAACTGGGTACTAATGTGTAAAATACGTCCTCTCACATTAGTCGAATGGCTGCAACACGGTCGTCTCCTTGTATCCCGTCTAAAAATAAAGGGATTTGTTGATGAGTTGGATTACGCACATAAGGTGACTTGGGACAGTGCAACCACACAAATCTTCCTAGAGTGCATTAGGGATGAAATATTAGTGGGGCGTCGGGTAGGTACAACCATAACCGTAATAGGGTACAAGGAAATTGCACTGAAATTTGCTAAGTGCACGGGCAGACGTCATGAAATGAAACAATTGAAGAACAAGAAGTACGGTAGTTTGAAAAAGGAATGGCAGGCTTGGAACAAGTTGATGGATAGCAATAAGGGTGTCATCGGCGTTGGGCTTGACAGGGAAACCGGGTTGTTCATAGCGTCAGAAGAGTGGTGGGAAAAGCTGAAATTAGTACGTACCGATTTAAATTTTATTTTACATAATAAATCATGAAACTTTCACAACGACTTGTACTTGTTAGTAAAAATCTTGATTGATTGTCCCATGTTATTGTGAGGAAAAATGTCATTATTTTGTCGTTAAAAGTTTTTCCTAATTACATGTTTATTGGTGTACAATGAAACTGTCAACGTTTTTTTAATAATTATGCAAAAATAACTCTACTTTGAAACTCTCATGTTCAACTTAGTAGTCAGTGGACCACCAAGAGAGTATCAGAGGCATATTCACTCATATAAGTTATGTTCATTTCAAAACATTTCAATAAAAATAACTACAAATGTACCACACTGCATAGTAAAGTTAAACGTTGATGCACGAAGTATTCACCGGTGCAACTGCGACTGGCAAACTCCATTGGACGCCGGGAGAGAAGGCTGTGGATGTTGGTGACGGTGAATCCAACTCATGGACTCTCCTAGGTTGCTACCATTTACTGAGCCATACAGACCGGTCATTGACTCACCTCCAAACTCCCCCACCGTCTATCTTGACGAAGCAGAACCCAGGGCAAAGAGGAAAAAAGGAGGTAGTACCAGTGGAAAGTCGAAGAAGATCTCTAGTGGAGCATCTGTGCTTGTGGACAGTTTTAACCTTCTGTCTCAGGCGGTTCAGTCACAGAAGTACCTTACGGTGAGGCATGAAACTAGTGCATCACAGAAGTATGACATTGAGGCATGTATGCAGAGGATTATGGCTATACCGGACTTCATTAGTACCCCCTATTCCATTTCGCCTGCATTGTGTTAGAGAACGCAAATTATCGGGAAATACTGATGTGCATGCCAAATGATGAGAATGTAGTTGAGTGGCTTGCGGCATTGCAAGCTTCAAAAGGGTTGTGACTATTTGGGTTTGGTCCGTCAGGAAAAAATGGGACCGAAAATGGTTTGTTGGAGTGTGGTTTTTGTGGACAAGTTCTGTTGGTATCTTTTTTTTTTTTTTTGGTTGCACTTCACTTTAGTTACTGTTAGTTTACTTTTGTGTTACGATTAGGTTAAATAGATGCAAACGCTACCTACTTTTGTATTATGCAATATGGAATCATGGTTTAACCTTTAGTTTTTTGAATTGTGAACTTTAATGGTTGAACATAATGTAATGGATTAGTCTTGATATTCGGTTCACTCATGTGGATGTATGGATGGTTCATTTATTTTTTTTTTGGAAAATTGTTTTCAAATGTGCTTAGTTTACAAGTGGACAATTGATGTATATGTTGTGTGCATTGTAGGATTCATCAATTGCAAAATGTGGAATGGTCAATGTAGCAACCATCGAAATTATGATGATGTAATCGTCAAACTCGCTGATGAACAAGAAGACCTACAAACAGCGTACTCGGTGACGCTGTACAACATGCAATGGAATATTACCTGAAGTACATGGAGAAGATCCCATGTCAAACTTCTACTTTGACCGGTCTTGTGTGGACTCAAGAATTATTTGATCGGCACTTAGGCAGGTGTGAACAAAATTTGCATATGCCACTGTATGTGTTTCAAGCGTTGTGTGACACATTACGACGCGACTTCGGTTTACGGGTAGAAGACCCCATGGATTACACATTGAAGAAAGTGTTGGGATCTTTATCCATACGTTGGACGGCTGCATTAATCATAAAATTTAGGAATGGTTCCAACACTCCAGAGAAACTGTCTCGCAACATTTCCATGTAGTGTTGGAAGTAATGAAGTTGTTCATAGAAGAGCATTGTAAGCCCACTAGAGATCAAAATAATAGACATCCATATTTGCGATCTAGAGGGAAATACAGACTGTTATCAATTACTATTCATTTATGTGTTGTATGTGAACCTCATGTGTTGTACGTTATTGGTGCAACATTGTATTAGAGCGTTGGATGGTACTCATGTACAAGCCATGTTGCCTGCCCGTGATGGCGGCACATATTACGGTCGTAAAGGGTATCCAACCCAAAACATACTAGTAGTATACGACTTCGACATGCGCTTCATTTTCATGTCTTGTGGTTGGGAAGGAAGCATGCATGATAGTCGCATTTTCAAGAAAATAATTGAGAACGAACATGCACCGTTCCCGTACCCCCAGGAAAGTAACACATTTGAAATTAAGTACTCGTTATTAATTTTGTTGTATGTACGTTAAAATGATTGAGCAAATGTAAGTAAATATTACCTTGTGGATACGAGATATCCAAACAAGAAGGGGTATTTGGCCCCATTCAAAGGGTCTCGGTATTACCAAGCATAATTCCGGGATCATGGATGACTCGATAACACAAGAGAATTATTTAACGAGACGCATGCATCATTGAGAAGAGTGGTGGAAAGGACTTTTTAAGTGTGGAAATCGCGCTGGAAGTTCCTCAAAGACATGGTTGACTATGATTTTGCGTTGGTGCAGGTGCCATTGGTTGGCCCGTCAATGACCTTACACAATTTCATCCGTAGACACAAGATTGCTGCTAAAGCACACAACGAACATGTCAGTTGTTCCTCAGTTTCGGATGACATACTCACCGTGGAATGCTGGGGATACGGATGTGGATATGGCGAGAGTTCGCGTTTGCTTCCGCCACCATTTGTTTCACATATGGAATAAAGGATTATTGTGAAATGCTTGTTCTGTAATTTGTAATTTGTATTTCAGCAACGCATATGTCGCACGATATTAGGATTTTCACGAAATTTACTATAACTCATAAATTTAAGAACTACAAATTAAAATTGTTATAAGTTGTTGTCATACGGTCAATTCGTTATTTTTATAATTTTGATATGCATTCAAAATTTATATAAATTGACAATCAAATTTCGAACAAAGTTCCCAATTTAATTAACTACTTATTTTTGAACGTTAACAATAAATGTACATATGAATTTCTTATTCATTTGAATTCCTAATTTCCATACCTGTAAGGCAAAGTTGTAGGCAATGTGACTAAGAAATTTATTTTAATTTCTAATTCGTGTAAGGACAATGGAAATGTGTTGCAATTTTATTTTTTTTGTAAGTACTACATTTTATCATTTACTATTTAAATGCAGATTGCAAAAAAAAATATTTTTTTTTAAAAATTAATTGTTTGTATAAGCGAAGATCAAATTTGGTAGCCACATTTGTCTATTTCTGTAAAGTTTTATTTGTTAACTTAACTAAATTATCTAAAATTTACCATTCCCCTCCCCTTTTTTTTAATTTTTAAATATCAATTGTCATCATTGTATATTTTGTAGTAGTAATGAATTTCAAAGAAGGATAAAATATAAAATTCATAGTATTTTTTTCATTAACAAGCATGGCAGCGTTGTCATTCGGCCCAAAAAGGCCATAGTTTGATTCAAGTCCATTTGGCTTCAGTTTGTGTCCTAGACAACTTGGTTTGAGTGAGATTGGGCTTAAGATTTAAGACTCGACCATTAACTTGGACAATTGGTTCGTAAGAGGCATCCCATTGTGCCGGTTAGTCTCCAAGATTATACAAAATTATGAAAACAAAGAGTAATTCTTTTATTCTAATTGTCACAAATTATCTCCTGTATTACTATATTACATTTCGTCCTATTTTTTGTTACCACTACTCAGCCACCTCTTTACCCACTCAACCATCGAGTTAGCTTTGTACCACAATGATTTGCACAAGCACCCCTTATTGAACTATACAAATTAAAGTTATAAATTATCGGAGCCAAATGGATAAAATTGATAATTTAATAGGAAAAGGAAGCATACAATATAATTTAAGGGACTAAGGCTTGGTTTGGCATCCTAAAAAAAATTTAAAAAGCCAAAAAGTTACTAAAAAAGTTAAAAAGTTATCACTATTCACAAATTAAAAATATAAAAAAATTAATTTACACAATATTTTAATACAAACCAGCCAGTTGACGTGACTGGTATTGAATTGATAGAAGTGCACTTATTAGGCTATCAAAGGAAAAAAGAAGAAGAAAATTAAGTATATATATTCATTAAATTGGAGGGTAATGTTGGACCAGTGGGGCCCATCACGGGTCCCGTTTTGATAATACCAACCGTTGAATGAGCAGAACTCGTCGAGTACTATATGCTGTAAAAAATCAAGTTAATTGGATATGGATAGCTACATGATTAAATCAGTTTTGTATAAAAAATGGATGGTGTTACAGTTAACGGTTGACAAAAAACTAACACGATCAGATAGCTATCGATACCCGATCAACGTGATGTTTTACAAGTATATAGTACTCGACGAGTTCTACACATTGAACGATTCTGATTAGCAAAACGGGACCCGTGGTGGGCCCACACGGGCCGAACAACACCATCCAATTTAAGCCCAAAAAGGAGGCAACCATTTTTTATCTCCTAATCAGCCCACTGCTTTGCCAGACTGTGCAAGCTACTTCACTAACTTCTCCTATACACTTATTTATATAATTTTTAAATACATTTTTTTTGGTAAAAAGTCAAAAAGTTAACCCAAACGTCCATATTTTTTTTCTCAACTTTTTAGTCTAAAAAGACAAAAAATACACTTATTTAGGACATCCCAAACAACCGCTAAATTGAAATTAAAACAGGGTGTTGATTGGAATATTGATGAAAGAAAAGAATAGCATAAAGCCCATGGAGTAAACTGATGAATAAAGCTTCAAAGCTCGAATCTCCCTTCCCCCGAATCCCCTGACCGCCCAAAACGACGTCGTTTTGGGCAGTTTTTTTTTTTTTTTTTTTGGAGATTCGAGCTTCGAAGCTTTATTCATCAGTTTACTCCATGGGCTTTATGCTATTCTTTTCTTTCATCAATATTGCAATCAACACCCTGTTTTAATTTCAATTTAGCGGTTGTTTGAGATGTCCTAAATAAGTGTATTTTTTGTCTTTTTAGACTAAAAAGTTGAGAAAAAAAATATGGACGTTTGGGTTAACTTTTTGACTTTTTACCAAAAAAAATGTATTTAAAAATTATATAAATAAGTGTATAGGAGAAGTTAGTGAAGTAGCTTGCACAGTCTGGCAAAGCAGTGGGCTGATTAGTTTGGCTAGTGTTGATGATGATGAACATGTTGTTGATGATGAATGGGGTGGGTTTGATTTTTGGTTGTTGATTTTGGTTGATGATTTGGTGGGTTTGATTTTTGGTTGATGATGAAGCTATGTTGATGATGATGTGTTGGGGTGGGTTTGATTTTTAGTTGATGGTTGATGATGAAGATGATCTGCTCTGCTCCTTTCCTTCCTTTCCTTTCTTCTTCTTCCTCTTCTTCTTCTTTGCCCTCTTCTTCTGCGTTATTGAAAAAAAATAAAAAAATCAAAACGACGAAACGACATTGTTTTGAATTTGGGGGATTCGGAGGGGCTTCGATTTCGAGCTACGTAGCACGGTTGGTAAACTGATAGCGAAACGCTTCGAGGCCTGAACAACAATGGCGTCCCCGACGATCCAGATATCCCCAATTCCTTCATCTTCGCCTCTCCAACGCCTCTCAACCTTCAAAGACAGAACCACCACCACCGCCACCCCAGCTTCAGCTGCCGGAACCATCACATCACCACCGTCCTCCATTCCATTTTCATCATCACCACTCGATTCTCTCTTCTCCGATCTAATTTTCTCCGTCTTCTTCTCCTCCGACTTCGACTTCACTCGCTTCTCCTCTACCACTTTCTCCTCCAGCTCCGCCACTGCCCGCACCGAGAAGCTCCAAGACGGCGTCCGCCTCCCCGAGAAGCAACTCTGCTCCGAAGTCCTCTCCAGCCACGACGATCTCCTCTCCCAACTCTCCTCTCTCTGCGATGCCGAATCTGCAGTCTCTGGCCTCCGATCTGCGATCACCACTCTCCAATCCTTCGCCCGCCGCGTTCTCTCTGAGATCGCGGATCCAAACCATCAGATCCGATCCAAAACCCTACAACTCTCCAACCTCCACCGTACCACCGAGCTCCTCCAGTTCACTATCTGCATCCTCTGCCAATCGAAGAAGTTTCGTGATGTTATGGCCGCTGGGGAATCTGAACCTGAGAAGCTCGATCTTGCCAAGGCCGCTCAATTGCATTGCGAGATCTTGAGTTTATGCAATGAGAATGAAGGTGTTCGGTAAATTTTTTTTTCAACTTAAATCAGCTTTTGCCTTAAATTAAACTATATTGGTGTATTTGGTACAACTTATAAGGCACAAATTATGGCTTAATTTAAGCCATTTTCGGTTTAAATGTAAAAGTTGCTCTAAGGGTGCTTAATTTTACAGCTTAAGCGCGCAGCTATTTTTGGAGGGACAAAATGACTTAAATGCCCCTCATCAATCTCAAATATTACTAAATGGCCACTATATAAACTACAATACAAAACACTGTTCACTCTTCTCAGAGAGTGATTGGCGATTTTTGACAGTGCTCTCTCTCTCTCGCTCTCTCTCTCTCTTGATGAAGATGAAGATTTGGGTTGGTCATCGATGAAGATGAAGATGAAGATCTGCACTCGACACGACGAGATGAAGATCGTTGATGAAGATGACGATCTGTGGTTGGATTGATTGGGTTTGGAAGCTCGTTGATGAAGATAAAGATCTAGGTTGATCGTCGACGAAGAAGAGCTGTGTTTCCAGAGTTGCCGTCATCGCGATCTCAAGGAGAAACCCTATGCATCGCGATCTGAACCAGATCGCCGTCGTGCTGCCATCGTCTCTCTCTCTCTCTGTGTGTGTGTGTTTCTCACGAACCAGTTCCCATCTCCGGCATTGTTCAGGCGGGTGAACGGTGACGAGCGACGGCACTTCCTCTCTGCCGTTCCAGATCGCGGCAGTGGCTAGGGTTGCAGACCACCGGCGGCGGTGGCTAGGGTTTCGGGAAGGAAGAGAAGAAAAAAAAAATAACAAAAATTAAATACATTAAACAATATTAATAATTAAAAACAAAATAATAAAAATAATAATTAAAAACAAAAATAAAAATTAAATAATAAAAACAATAATAATGATTAAATTGCACAATTTAAATAAATTGCACAATTAAATAATAAATTAAATAAAATTAAATAAATTGCACAATTTTATTTCAGTTAATATCAATATAAATTTATTTCAATTAAATAACTACTTTGGTATTTTCTTTGGTATTGTAATAATAATATAAAAAAAAAAACAATTGTTCTAATTGATATTAATGAAAACAAAACAAAATAATAAAAAAATGAAATAACTTCTATTAAATGAAAAAATGTAATTGACAAAATAAATGACACTAATTTTATAATGACACTAATTTCAGTATTTTTATATTAATTAGTATTGACACCTAATTCATTTTTAATGAAAAAAATTAAACTAATTGATACTATTATTAATTTAGTATTAATTGATGGTAATTAAGCCATTAATTGACACTAATTAATTTGTAATGAAAAAATGAAAAAATTTATACTAATTGATACTATTATTAATTTTCGTATTAATTGATGCTAATTATATTAACTTTTATTAATGAAATAATTTTTTTTAAAATTAAAACTGAAAAAATGACAAAATAATCATTTTTATATCATATAAGGGCAAAATGGACAATTACACAGTAAAAAGTTATTTTACAGCTTATTAACCAAAGCCTACTCTGCTGCTTAAATCCATAATCCCACAGTTGCACCAAACAGGTTCACAGCTTATGTTCACAGCTATAAGTTATAATTTGTTAAGTTATAATCTATAATCACTTTTTCATAGTTCTACCAAACGGGCCCAATGAGCTTGCAGGGATTGCTGTGATTGATGAGGATTTGAATTGGGTATTCGACGCTGGACAGAAATTGAGGCCGGAGGGAATGAGGGTTTTAGGAAGGGATTATTGGAATAAATCTTACGTGTATAGTTGTAACATGTAATAATTGCACCAAATATATTATCAAATAACATAAATTGTTTGGGTTAAAATTGAACATGATTCAATTCATATTTCGAATTCTTTTGAAAAACAATCATGTCTTTTCTAGTTGTATTTTTTCATGGAAAAAGAGGTGACTCTTTTAAAGAGTCACCACCTATTTGAACAGTCACCAATTCATCTATATAAACAAGCTCATATTACATTCATTTTGATTAGATTCATCCTGTGTTTCTTTTATTCTGTATCTTTTCTGTAAGAGAATTCTGCATAATCGTTGTATCCTGGGAGACGAATGCCCAATAAAAACTCGTGAGTACCATAGCGAGAAACGAATTTGTCTTAAGGAAATTATGTCCAACACAAGCCTCGATCAAATTATTTTTCGTTTCCAGATTTTTACAATATGTTTGTAAGTTTTCTATTTCCCCGTAAGTATTTTGGCTCTCGATATATGGTTTGGTCTGGTCTAACCCAAACAACTTACGTTATATTCAACTTATATTTTCTTTAACAGAAGTTGATAATATATTTGGTGCAATTGTTACATGTTACAACTGTACACATAAAATTTATTTCAACAGGAGATTGAAAGGGTTGAATCAAGTTGTGGTTGGGGTTGGTTTGCAAGTTTCTTACAATCTTGGTGATTTGAGAGCTACAGTGGATGGTTTGATAAGCAAGCATAAGACTTAGGGTATGAGGAGTGTCAGTGTTGCATTGGATATGAAGGCTATTTCGGCATGGTCCGGTGGAGGGTATGGACTGAGAGGGATACAGAGGAGTGGTACACCACAGATTGGAAGCGGGGGAAAGGCGAAGGAGGTGCTGTGGCAGAGAATGAGTACCTGTATGGATCAATTGCATTCGATTGTGGTCGCAGTTTGGCATTTGCAGAGGGTTCTTTCAAAGAAGAGAGACCCGTTTCCGCATATGTTGCTGCTTGATGAGGTCATGCAGGTGAGTGAACAGAATTGTGTCATGCATCATGTATTTGTTGCAGTCAGCGGGTTTCAATTCAATACATAACATTTCATTGTTGGTAAATAACAATTTCGTAATTCTGCTATCCATTACAACACAATAGATTACAACAACTTTAGAATGATGACTTCCCTTTCTGGTTGGTTGATAATGAACTAGAGGTTTCGTTCATTTGTTTCTTGAGGTTTTCGAATGTTTTCTATTTGTCTAGTGAAATTGAAGGTCATGTGGAGGCCTCGAGGGAAATCATTGAATGAAAGGAGTTCTCATATTCTGGTAATGTTAGGATTGATAGAGTATGTATAGAATAAGTTAGAACAAAGCATGGGTACACAAGATTGACCTTAATATATTTCATCACATACTACTACTTTAGTCTGCTCAAAACCATTTGGTGATTTTTGAAGCTTTTAAACCCATAGATAAATAAACTGATACAATGCTTTAGGTTGATTACATATTGGTGGAATTGAGGATGTTAATGTTTTGAAATAGAGCTGACTGCTGCAGTATGGATTTGACTCCAGGGTTGTAAGTGATGGCACGGCCTGCTGAAACCTTAAGGAATTTTCTTTTAGGTCCTTGTAAATGGCATAATTTTGCACATGAATAGTTGTCCCTGGCTTGAGACCATATCTGCCATGACTTCCAATCCACCCCCAACTAGGAGATTGTGACCGGTCAATAGTCATTGACTACCAAACACCTAACTGTAAAAAACACAATATGTGACTTTGTGCAAATAATGTGACAGGTTAGGCCTGCTTGTACACAATCCATCCTTCATGCCTCCCTTATTAATAGGGAGTAAGACTGTTAATGTCCATTAAATTTGAGAAGACACGAGGCATTTTAACTTTTAATTTTTCCATATCATGGAGCTTGTGACAATTGAAATATGACAACGTTGTCTCACAATTATCTAAAATAAATAAATAAAAAGATGGATTGCGTTATGTGGAATTATTAAAAATATATTTCAATGACTATGTGATGAAGTCAGCTGAATTCCGTTAATGTCTTATCTTCATTGTGTGCAAGTCCATTTACTTTTAGATAATTGACTATGTTAATGTTTTGAAATAGAGCTGACTGCTGCAATATGGATTTGACTCCAGGGTTGTATGTGATGGCACGGCCTGCCGAAACCTTAAGGAATTTTCTTTTAGGTCCTTGTAAATGGCATAATTTTGCACATGAATAGTTGTCCCTGGCTTGAGACCATATCTGCCATGACTTCCAATCCACCCCCAACTAGGAGATTGTGACCGGTCAATAGTCATTGACTACCAAACACCTAACTGTAAAAACCACAATATGTGACTTTGTGCAAATAATGTGACAGGTTAGGCCTGCTTGTACACAATCCATCCTTCATGCCACCCTTATTAATAGGGAGTAAGACTGTTAATGTCCATTAAATTTGAGAAGACACGAGGCATTTTAACTTTTAATTTTTCCATATCATGGAGCTTGTGACAATTGAAATATGACGACGTTGTCTCACAATTATCTAAAATAAATAAATAAAAAGATGGATTGCGTTATGTGGAATTATTAAAAATATATTTCAATGACTGTGATGAAGTCAGCTGAATTCCGTTAATGTCTTATCTTCATTGTGTTCAAGTCCATTTACTTTTAGAAATTTGTTATGAAAGGTTGAAATAATATAGTTGATCACTAGTTTAACCTCATCAAATTGGCAGCAGCAGCATTAAAGTAAAATTAAAAGTTTACCTTGGTCACCAATATAAAGTAAGATAATCAATTTTCCGGTTCTTTTACCTGGAGGTGAGCTCCTTTTATTGGTTAAATTTAGTGTGAGAATATCCTTTCTAAAAGTTAGGTTATTGTAGATGGCTGTAGAACCATGGTGGCTATTTTTCTCCTCATTTTTGGGAGGGTGTATTGGTGCATGAAGTGGCTTCAATATAACTAATGATTGAACTTGAAAGAGTTACATGAAACCATCAAGGACTTATTTAGCTTTGAAGTTATTATTGATTCTTACTTTTTTAGAAGAACTTTTCCATTATTCTTGGCTTTGTAAAGCATCACGAGTTCATAACTGGTTGGATATAGTTTTTTTATTTATTTTTTCAACTGGTTTTTCTGCTTTGAGTATCTTACATAAGACTAGATTGAGTCACTTTGTTCACGGTTGTCATTATGCATCATGTACCCCTAATTTTTTAAAAATATTATACTATGTTATTTTGAAGCTGTGAAGCTATTTTTTAATTAAAAAATGAGTCTTGGGCATAAAAAGATAGAAATAGAAAGAGTGGGTATGCTTGAGATGCTGTGCCCTTTTGAATTGGAGATGCTTATCCTATGATTTTTGTTAATGCCATGGATGTTGGTAGTCATCATTTCTAATTTAATAATCTGTGTACATTGCCTTTTGGGGATAATTTCCCGCTTTTGTTTGCTTATGTGAGCTCTTGTTTTCTTAGGAAGTTGATCCAATGTTAATAGATCATGTTTGGGAGGCTCTTGTGAAATCCTTTGCAAGCCAAATGAAGTCTGCTTTCACTGCATCAAGCTTTGTGAAAGAGATATTTACTGTTGTGTATCCAAAGCTATACTCCATGATAGAGAATCTTCTAGAAAGAATTTCAGGTAACACAAATGTCAAAGGAGTTTTACCTGCTATAACCTCGGAAGGAAAAGATCAAATGGTTGCTGCCATTGAAATATTTCAGACAGCTTTCTTGGGCCCTTCTTGAGTCGCCTATCAGATCTTGTTAATACTGTGTTTCCAGTGTCAAGTCGTGGAAGTGTACCCTCCAAAGAACATATATCTAGAATTATATCACGCATTCAGGAGGAAATTGAAGTTGTTCAGCCAAATAGGCGCTTGACTCTTCTTGCCTTGCGTGAAATCAGCAAAGTTCTGCTTTGCTTGCTGAGAGAGCTGAATACTAGGTACTTCCTTTTTTAGTTTTATCAAACAGGATTACTACTATTTGTAGCAATTAATGTTTTAGCCTCCTCATCCTTTGCAAGGCATTAAGTTCTTACCCCTTTAATTCAATTCTCCTTGGAAGAGTTGAATCCATGACCTTCCCTAAGGACCAAACTCTTAGGAAAGTCATGCTAGCCAACTAGGCTACACCTAGTTGGTTTTTTTACTTTGGGACTTGCTTGATGAATATAGTAGGGCAGTGGGATGAAAATCCTCTTCTCTTTTTTCTTGGCAAGAAGTTATTGTTCTCTCACTGTTAGTACCTCTTTTTTTTTCTTCTTCTTTTTAAAAAAAAGGGAGTATCTTTTTGGGTTATATATTAAATTTATCAATCCCATTTGATAGTGATTTTTATTAATAAGTCCAATTTAGAAGTGTTTTAACCCAAGAAGTCCATGAAGGAATTTTTTAACCCATTTAGTCCCATGTATGTATAGTTTTATTCCATAAAGTCCATTTTCTTGATTTACACTATTTTCTTGGACACTTATGCCCTTATATTTAATTTTGATACCCTTATAAATATTTTTTCAACGATTAGCAATTTAATGATGTAAACATTCATATTTTAAAATTAACATTGGTAGGAATGTAAAATTGGCCCGTGGGCGGCCCAAAAC